CTAAGAATACCAAAACACCAATTCAAAAGAACCCATGCACCCCAATGTTCATAACGTTATTTACAATAGCTAAGTGCTGGAAACAGCCTAAGTGCCCATCAGTAAGTGAGTGGATCAAAAAACTATGGTACATTTACGCAATGGAATACTTTGCAGCAGAAAGAAAGAAGTAACTCCTACTCTTTGTGACAGCATGGATGGAACTAGAGACTATTATGCTAAGTGAAATTAGACAGGTGGTCAAAGACAAATACCATACCATCTCAGCTATAACAGGACCCTAATGAACAAAACAGACAAGCAAGCAAAATAGAACCAGAGCCATGGAAATAGGGAACAGACTGATAGCAACCAGAGGGGAGGTGGGAGCAGGATAAGGGTGGAAGGGACTAGTCAGGGAACATGTACAAATGACCCATGGACATGGACAACAGGGCAGGGAGTGACTTGGGGGATTAGGCTGGGCAGAGTAGAGCAAAGGGGGAACAATTGGGACAACTGTGATAGAACAACAATAAAATATTGAATAAAAAATTAACGGGGAATGATAGGTACACTCAGGTGTTAAAGAGTTTAACCTTAATTAATAGGCTTAAGTGACTAATGCAAGTGGAAAGCTGTTATTCCAAAATTGTGAAGATTTTTAATAAAGACTCCTTTCTTTTATTAACAAACCTTTTCCTCTGGAACTTTGCCCAGAGGATGGCAGTGGGCAGCAGGATCCCAACTGCTGTTAGGTAACAGTACTTCTAACAGTATTCTGTAGGTATTTGTTGGAAACTTTTCTTAAGAAAATGTTGGGGGGAAGTTTCCTCAAAATGTTGATTAAATTATTACCAAAATCTTTATTCATAAAGAACACCTAAGTAAAAACACCAATTAGCATCTCTGAACAAACATTTCTCCACAAGCCAAAAGTAGGGAGAAGATAAATTTTAAAATATGAAAATAAGAATATGTTTTCCCTAATTAGACTTATTTTAATAAAAATGTAGCCAAGTCCATAACTAATCACTTGATAGCCTTGAACACTGAACTCTGAAAAGAAAAAGCCCTGCTGTCTGTTGAAATGTGTGAACTTAAACATTACACTAGCACCTTGGTGTGAAATTCATAATCCAGCCTTTCCCTCCTTTCATCTCTCTAGTCGTCCAAGCGTTTATCCGGCACCATGTGCCCAGCACTGGATGTACAATCCCTGCCTGCTCTGTGGTGGGGAGAGAGACCCGTGAACCACACGTGAAAATTCCTTTTTCCCCACAGACTTGGCACAGCTACATGGGGAGCACCCAAGCTCGGTGTGAGAAAAGGGAGGCGGGAGACCGTTTCACTGCATACCTTACTTAAGCCTTCGACACCCTTCTAAGTTCAGTATTATACTTATTTCTTACACAAGGAAACTACAGTTCAAATAGATTGAGCAAACTGCCTACGATGACCTCACACAGCTTGTAAGGATTTAAAACCCAGGCCATTGACCCTAATGGGACACTGACACTACACTGTCCCCTCAGAACCCTTAGCACACCAAAGGAGGGCTTTAAAAGGCCCTTTCTTACAAGATCTGACTGCCTCTCATCACCCCCACCACTAGCATCCTAGTCCATGCCACTCTTCCCTCCTACAGGCCTCTCTGCCGGCTCATGCCTACCTTTGGTCCATGAACTGGCCTCCCCACCACCTCTCAGACCTCGTGTCCTTACTCACCCTGCTCCTTCCACAGAGCCTCTTGGATACCCCTCAAGCAGAACAGGCACACTGCAGTCACAGGGCCCTACTTGCCTGTCCCCTTTCCCTGGAACGCTCTCCCCCCGCTGGCTGCCCGGCTGACTTTCTCAGGCCCTCCCTCAGTGACATCCCTCAGCCTTCTCTGAGTCTCCCAGTTCAAAACTGCTTCCTCCACTCCCCACACCTTGGACCTCCCCAGCTTGCTTTCCTTGACTGCTTTTTCAACATTGCACGTATCCTATAACTTTTAAATCATACATTTAAATATTGTATATTTTACCTGCTGTTTGGTGTGTCTACCTTGCCTTAACTAGGATATAAGCTTCTTGAGGTGGAGATTTTTGTTTTGGTCCCTGTAATGTGTAACATATAGTAGGTGCTCAATGTATATCTGTCAAACTGGGGTGAAAGCAGAATGGTTACAGCATGATCCACACTTGTGCTGCTGAAGAATGGACTCTGGCCTGACATCTCCCACATACTATGCTCCTGACCTGGCCCCAGGGGGAAAAGAGGAGATGGCTGGGAGGTTTGGGGGGGTCAAGAAGCCAAGCCAAGGGAGCTCATTCGTAAATCCAGTGCCCTGAAAGGTGCCTGAGTGCCTCCTTTTCCACGCCACATGCCATGGTGACCACCGATTTCAACACTACTGCCAAGACAGTGGGGCCAGTGATCCCAGAGCTGTGATCTCAATGTGTGGTTCTAGGTGAAAGGGGACTCCTGAGACACAGAAGTTGAGAGGAATAAAGGACAGCACGCTTCCTGCTTTCTCTCAATGTGCTAATCAACAGAAATCTCTGCTGGGGCACTCAAGGACGTCCTTACTTTCCCAAGTGACGCTCCACCTATCCACACAAGGGCTCCTTTCTTACACTGGCCTTGTGTACACCAGGTGTATGAAACCTCACCAGAGCTACCAAAAGAAAACCTCAAGGATTCACTCTTCCAGGAGTTCTCAGATAGCAAAGGGTGGACTTCGAACTTGCCTCCTAAGTGACGAGAAGGAACAAGATATTCTCAGCATCTCGGCATCTGCTGAGTCTAGAGAGCGATGGGTGGGGAAGAAGCAAGCATAACAGGAAGAAGCAAGTACAAGGTCAAACAGCAAAAGCATTCAGATGTGGGAGATGGAATGCTTTTTCCCAGGGAGGAGCCTGCCAGAGTGCGCAGTGCCTGCCAAACTCCAACTCATCCTCCTCCTGATCCCTTTCTAAAAATCCTGGCCTGTGGCTTAGACTGATTGCGAGGGGTGGAGTGGAAATGAAGGGGACACACAATAATAACGAGAAAGGCACAGCATCTGATTTGTAAACTTCTAAGGCCCTTAATAGGTGCCTTTCAGCTCTGAAAGTCTGTGAAGGAACTAAAATACTATTTCCAAAAAGAAAAAAAACCACTAAGAAATGGTACTATAATTTCTTGAGCTTGTGTCAGTCTGTTTTCTGTAGTTACAAAAAAAAGGTGACTGGTTTGGGTTACAAAGACAGGGTTCCACTATAAAAACCCGCTGGTTGCCATGACAATGAACATCTCTTCCTCCCTTCTCTGCAGCATCCTTCCTCCATCTGGGTCAAATCAAAGAAGCTATCTGCGATGCTCATGATTTAGTATTTCCTTCGTATGAAGATCTAAAACTACATACACACGTAAACAAAATACATATCAAAGTGCTAATTAGAGTTGAACTAGAACCTCACACACTGTTATCTCTCCTCCACTACCAATAGTAATGTCCTACAAAACACTTAGGAAACGCCCCTGCAGAGGGTGGAACAGGAAGGGAGGAGGGTAAGCCCGTGCCTGTTCCCTGTGGTCTGGAGCCTCTCAGGATGGGCTGGGGGTCAGTTCTCTCCAGAAGGGTCCAGGTGAGGCCAGGGCTTCCTGGAGCACTGCCACTGTCTGTCTGCAGGTCTGTCCTCCCACCCTAAGCTCCTCAAGGGCAGCGTCCACACCTGACTGATTCTGGGACCTAGCACAGCACTGGGAACACAATGAAAGCACGTAGGAACCCTTTCTTTCTGTTTTCTGCTGAGGTCTCGAGTATGGGCCTAGCGTGCCTCAAATCATCTTGTGGATTCATCCAAGGTATAAAAACATGCAAAAACCTGCAGTGGAATGAAATACAAAAACTTCAGGTTACAGAGGCCTCTGAGGAAGTCAGAAGGGAGAGGACATCCAGATAGGTGTGTCTAGAACCACTTGTTTCTTAAAAAATGGTGACAGAAATCAGATGCAAACATGGCAAAATGTAAACATCTGTTAAATTGAGGAGGTAGGCATATCGGTGCCATATTTTTAAATTTTTTTCCATGTTTGAAGCATTTAGTAATTAAAAATAAATTTCTCTACTAATTATTGTACTTAACCGAAACAACCTGGTGAAGGATTTGATCCGGGATTTCCTCATGCTTGGAACATCGTCCCCTCTGTGAATCTGGTTACTTTTAAATATGGTGTAAGTTGATGCTTCTGACGGGCCATTTCATTACCTTATGATTTTGGAATTTGGTGTCACTGTATTTACTTCCATAGGACATTAATTCAACCTTAAATTAAATTCAACAACCAAAGCAAGCATAACCTTAAGAAAATTAATAACCACTGAGAGTTAAATAAGCTAGCTGCCCTAGAAAAGCATACTGGCTCATTTTAGTCTATTCTGTAAATAAACTACGGAGTAATTATTTTCAAGAATTATTTACTAACAAAGTCATTGTGACTTCTGAAAGGTGCTAAGTATCAGAGAACATGAAATTATCTTTGTATACAAATTTGTGCCTCCATCTTTCAACAGTATATGTATTATTCTTATTGAGTGAATTTGTTATTGTTAAAATTACCACAAATGTGGAACAAGTTATTTCAAAAATAAAGGCTGAGAAGACAACAACATTTAATTTAGAAGAAAGCCACATAAATACAGGACTATGTCATTCATTTCTTATTTCCCCACAGAAATAAAAGACCCAGAAATGTCTGCTGGAATGGTGGGCTGTTTGCAAAACTATCTTTAAACATCACTGAGGCTGAAGGGCTCTCATTCTAAGTTCTTTTAAAGTAAGAGCTAAATTTGAGCCCCAAGTATTTGCAACACTTTTAAATGGTCTGAGTGCTGGTCAAACTTCTCACCAGTATAATTTCATATACTCCCACCCACCCAAAGAGCAGAGCATTTCTGGGTGTTAGAAACAGATAATGACGATTCCACAAGTAGCTTTTTGAGGTAGCACGTGGGTTAGTGTGGTCTTTTGTCAACTTCCACCACGGCGTACCATGGCCAGAGACAAAAAGTGCTGAAGGTGATGGTGCAGCCCATCAACCTTATCTTCAGATACTTGCAGAACAGACCCCAGATCCAGGTGTGGCTTTATGAGCAAGTGAACATGCAGATAGAGGGCTGTGTCACTGGTTTTGATGAATACGTGATGAATACTGATGCAGATGAGATTCATTCTAAAATGAAGTCAAGGAAACAACTAGGTCAGATCACGATAAAAGGAGATAATATTACTCTCCTCCAAAGTGTCTCCAACTAGAAATGACTAATGAAGTGAGAAATTGTTGAAGCAACACAGTGTGTGTTTTTTAGGTGTTCTTCCTGGTGGGTATAGTGCTTGAACATTTATTCATATTGTTTTGATTACCTTTTTGTTATTACCAGATGACAATAAATGCTATGTGACTGTTTTTATTAAAAAGAAGAAGAAGAAAGAAACAAATAATGATTTTGGTATAAATAGGAGCCCTCATGGCTCCCCCAGGTGGAAACAGGACATAAATGAGACACTGTAATGAAAGAAGACTCACTTTGATTTTTGTGTCCACATACCCACTGACACCAATTGAGTAAGTACCTCTAAATTGCTTGGCATGTGAGGCAAAAACTTTGTCTGTTTTTATACAACAAATATTACTTGATAATTTGCTTAGGTCCAAAGGTTTTTACAAGCATGGTGCTTTTTCCAAGTGGAAGCGCATGTAATAAAAACATATTCATTCCAACATTAATAGGCCCTGTGGTCAGGGTGTGAAAAACTAAGTGCTGGTTTCCGGGCACAGCCAACAGTTTTAACTGCCCTCTGTGCCAGATGTAGAGACTACCAGGCAGGTGAAACGCTCAACAGTTAACGCAGGTGCGTATAACAACCAACCCCTAAACATCCAGTGATTTTTAGCGAGCCACAGGGGTAACGTACAAATAAAGAAACTGTTTATTACCTACAAACATGAAATCTTATTGTATTCATTATACTAATGTGAGTAACAAATCAACTTCAATCTCCTAGTACTGAGGACAGCACAAGGGCGCTAAATATATTTACGAAGGAGGAGGAAGACAAGCTGGAAAGTGGTCTGCTCCCCACAGAACACAGCGTGGGTGGGTTCCTGCTCGTCCCTCTCCCTAGCTGGGAGGGTGACCACAAGTGATGAAGGTGGCAATGATGGTTTGTTTAGGGAGCAACAGTGCACATTCTTTACCCTGTAACAGCATTTGCAAACACATGGAAGGGCACGATTCTGTATTAAGTAGAAATTGAGAAGCAAAATCTTATTCAAAAAAAGAACTGAAGGCAAACAACAAATCTGACCATCTCTTCCCCTCTACCTTTTGGTCTTTCCTTACTGTCAATGACCCTGGAATCATGCCTGCTTGAAAGGTTCTAAATGCATGAGTAGAATCCTCAAATTGCCCAGTTCAAATCCTGATTAGGGGGAAGGGGAATCTCAATCCAGAATAAACGCATCTAAAGTATACCTTCTGGTTTGTTTTAAAGCCCAGAGAAAAAGCAGAAATTTATAAAAATAAATAAATAAAATAAATACATAAATGTTAAGTATATCTAATATATGTATTTATGTAAACATAAATATATAAAATATAAAAACAAATTTACAAAAATAACTGCAAAAATGGTGTTGGGATAACTATGTCATTTATCTGTAGACATCTTAAAGGAAAACAAATTCTAACTGGATCAAAGATTAAAACATATAAAAATAAAAATCATAATATGTGTTAGAAAAACATGGTGTTTTGGTTTTTAAAAAAATCTCAAAGTATGAAAGACCATTCTAAGAATGACACAAACCTAACATTTTTAAATTTCTTTATGGCAAAGTCTGATTAATATTTTATTCAGTGTTTGCTACGTGCTATCTCTACACTCAGCAAACACATGACAGGTCATCAATTAGGTCAGTGCCGTAGGGAGAATTCTCAAATGGCCCCAGGACTCCCACCTGCTGGTGTACACACCCTGTATTTTACCCTCCCCTTTCAAGTGACAAGACTTGTGACTATGACGGATTTCACTCTCAGACTGGGTCATATTATATGGCAAAGGTGAACAAATTTTGCAGATGTAATCAAAGTTCTCTAGCAGTTGACTTCAGTTAATTAGAAGGTGGACTACCTGGGTAGGCCAGGCCTAATCAGGTGAGCCCCTTCAAAGAGGGCCTGGCTGGGGTGTCCAACCTTTTGGTGTCTCTGAGCCACACTGGAAGAAGAGTTGTCTAGGGCCACACATTAAAATCATTGTGACACGTAATCCCAAAAAAGTCTCATAATATTTAAGTAAGTTTACGATTTTGTGTTCCGCATTCACAGCCATCCTGGGCAACGGCCCTGACGGAGGGAAGAGACAAACACAACAGAGACGCTCTCCTTCTGGCCTTGAAGAACAAACCGCCACGTGGTGAAGAGGGCCAACTGGCAGGGAGCAGTGCATGGCCACCGGGGGCTGCGTGCTTCAGTCCAGCTGCAAGGAAGTTACTTCGGTGAAGAACCAGCGAGCCTGGAAAAGGATTCCAAGCCTCAGAAGATACTGTGGTCCTGACTGACACCTTGACTTTAGGCTGACAAAACTGAGGAGAGGATGAAGGTAAGCTGTGCCTGGACTCCTGGCCCTTGGAAACTGAGAGATAATAAAATGGGTGTTGTTCTAAGCTGCTGAATTTGTAATGTTACACAATAGCAGAAAATTAGCACAGTCGGGAATGACAAACTAGAAAATACGTATGTGCAAAACAATTTACTTAATAAGTAAAAAAACTTCTACAAATTTAAAAGATTAGTAACCCAATACACAGAGCCAGAATATAAAACAGATAGTTTACAATACAATGTTTTTTAATTATGTAAAAACATGATCAACTTATTGTTCTAGAGGTGTAACCACTGGGCGAGTCTGGGTGAGGGAAACGTGAACATGTATCTCTGTTTCATTTTTCTGCAACTTCCTGTGGGTTTATAATTATTTCAAAATATAAAATTTTAAAATATGATCAAATTCAGTCATATCAGGAAACATATAAATTAGAATGAACTACCAGTTTTCAGCCATCAGATTGACAAGGATCAAAAAGCATTAAAATACACAGTGTCAGAAAGATGTGAGCTGAGCATGTTCATACATGGATGGTAACATACACTGTACCATCTTGGTTCACTGCTGCCCCCTCAGCTCCTACTGTTTGACACGAAGTAGGCACAGCATTCAAGTTGGCAATCTCGTAATTTAAAGTGCCTGAGCCCTTTGCTGAGCAATTTCACTGTTAAGAATGTACAGCCCACTTATATCCTTCAATCGAACAAAAAAGAAGTCTGTTTGCGGGCAGTCAGCCAAGTGCCTAAGCAGCAGCCATCCACATGCGCTTCACAAGGAAGTGGTCAAATAAATTATGAACACCTGTAAGCCTGTTCAGCAATTAAAACTAGATTAATCTGCAATGATAAAAGTCAAGAACAGAATGTTTTCCAGCTTATCAAGTCTATAGTGCAATTTTATAACATACCCTGATTTACCATTTACAAAGCCCCAAATACCAAGGCTCCATGAAGACATACAAGGAACAGGAACATTCCCCTGTGAAAGGATGGAGCGAGTGCCCGAGGGCACAGAGGCCAGGCATGGGAGTCCACAAGGAAGGGCACCGGAGCTCAAAGCAGACAGCGGGTGAAAGGTGAAGGTCAGGTGAGAGACTCTGGGTGTCTTCCAATAGGCAGAGATTCTGCCTATTGAAGGATGTAAAGGAAGATATAGATAAGACTCTATGCCAGGCATAGAGTAAAAATAAAGGAGTGCTTTGGCTGGAGAAATTCATAATCTGGAGAACATCTCTGATTTTATTGGAGGTGTCTTAAGGTACCTCATCCTGTGTATTTGTGGCAAGCTGAGTCACCCTCAAACCCCCTTCGCCTCCTGCCTGTAAAGACATGAAGACTGCACAGAGTCCTTTGCAACCGTCTTAGGTGCGGACTCCAAAGAGATACCAGACACTTTCCTCACCTGGAGAAATATTTACAAGTAGCCCTCTCCAGCGTCTGGACATGCTTCGCTCCACCACACTCTCCACTAGCTCCACTCGCAACACCAAATCAAAGCCGCCGACTATTACACTGCATTGTTCTGTCTTCTCTCAGTCTTGTGTGCTTTTAGGGGTCAAGGCTTTCAAGTACTTTGTCTGATGCCAACAGGGCTTGAGCAGCTCTTACTGAATGGGCCTCATATTTTCAGATAAATGAAAATCTATGCCAGCTAGTGATTCAGTCTCAAATAGAGGCCACCTGTTCCAATTTGTGAGATTAAAATAGTATGCCACTGCCTATCTGAGTAGGGCTCCAAGCCTTCTGGCTCATCACGTCCTCTTCACGCAGGAGAAACAAAGGCACGTTTGGGCTCAATGCACAGTTGCACACACTGGAGTAAATCTATTGGGACGCCGAGCATAGTTTTCACTAAGGACATACTTTAGTTTTAGACATGTGCTATGTCGAAATTTCTGTGAAAGGCTGCAGCACCATTTAATTCCCTTCCATCAGAGCAAGCCTACGTACACATCTTATTAGAGTCAACTTTACTTCAGAAAACCACAGGTTTAAATTTCTTCTCCACTCACCACTTTCTGTCCTTGCCTGAAATTCCCAAAGACTCTTAAAGGTCTTCTGTCACCTCAGTTTCTCTCCAGTCATCAGAAGACCAGAGACACGCCCTGCCTGGCACAGGTGTAACTCTCCCTGTGCACCGCACTGTCCGAGTCTTCCTGCGCCGACAAGACCGCCTTCGATTCACCAGAGCGGGCTTTGTTCGTCCCTACACTCAAGTACCCAAATTTGCACAGTCTGTGAGAAAATATTTCTAAACAACTTCTGGGCCATGCTTCATAAATGCAGAAGAGATGATACATTAAGACCAGTGTTTCCCATTAAAATAGCATCACAGGGAGCAGCAAGTCATTGCCTTCAAAACAATCCTCAACCCAATCCAGTTGATTCAGTCCAGGAGAAGCTTCTATTTTGTGCTACAGCTCTCTGACAAAGCTTCCACATTTACTATGATTTACTAATCTGGCACTGGCGGCTTCAGAGGGTCAGACCATATTCAGCTGGAATAGTAACAGTGATCCTTTAAAAATAAATTTAACTTTCAAGGAGTGAACTGGTTTAGGAATACTAGGTAAACAACTGTACAGGTGGTACAAGGCTATGCCTGGGTGTGGGAATGACTGAAGATTGGCAAACTGTCTGGAAGACAAT